AATGCAACATTAAATATTAAAAACTTCCCTAAACAGGGCTGCCTTCAGATGTCTTTTAAAAATAGGATAGCTGCTTATTTCCTTGACATCTGATGGGAGGGCGTTCCACAGAGCAGGCACCACTACCAAGAAGGCCCTCTGCCTGGTTCCCTGTAACCTCCCTTCTCACAGGGAGGGAACTGCCAGAACGCCCTTGGAGCTGGACCTCAGTGTCCGGGCTGCATGATGGGGGTGGAGACACTCCTTTAGGTATACTGGGATGAGGCCGTTTAGGGCTTTAAAGGTCAACACCAACACTTTGAATTTTGCTCGGAAATGTACAGGGAGCCAATGCAGATCTCTCAGGACCGGTGATATGTGGTCCTGGTGGCCACTCCCAGTCACCAGTCTAGATGCCGCATTCTGGATTAATTGTAGTTTCCAGATCACCTTCAAAGGTAGCCCCACTTAGAGCGCATTCCAGTAGTCCGATTGGGAGATAACTAGAGCATGCACCACTCTGGCAAGACAGTCTGTGGGCAGATAGGGTCTCGGCCTGCATACCAGATGGAGCTGGTAGACAGCTGCCCTGGACACAGAATTGACCTGTGCCTCCATGGACAGCTGTGAGTCCAAAATGACTCCCAGGCTGCACACCTGGTCCTTCAGGGGCACGGATGCCCCATTCAGAACCAGGGGGTCCCTGCCCACCCCCTGTCCCCCCAAAACTGAGGTGCTGAGGTGCTATGATGTGCTTCGGGGTCCCTGCTTTGGCTCGTGCCATCTTAGAGGTACCCTACTTTACCTCTGACAAGCCCAAAATCTTTCTGAGGCATCAAGCTTTCATCCAAACCTGATGCACAGGGCTCTTACTGTTATGTCTGGTTCTGGTTGGTATTTACAAAGAAGGTGATTAGACGGACAATAACACTTTTGCTTTCTGTTAGGGAATTCAGTCATTGCACATTTGAATATGAAAGTGAACCAATCAATTTTGATCTAACCAATGTGGTGTTTCCAGCTTCGGTATCTTCTGACTTTAGTTCTCAGTTCAAATATCTTAGTGAAATGCATTTAAATGCATATTTTCAGTGGAAATGTCTTTTGAAATGCATATTTTAACAGAATATGCATTTAGAAGCATGTATTTAAATAGACCTTTCCATTCGGATTAAAAGACAAAGAAAATCAACCCTTTGTAGATTAATGTGGGAAAGGAAGAGAACAGATTTTAGGAGTTCACACATGCAAAACAGGGACTAGAAACAGACTGCTTTCTCCACTTCTGACTGTGGCATTAAAGCAACTGGAGACTCTTTCAGGGAGGGAAAGCACAATATAGAGCTCCAAAGGCAGCCAAAATAGATTTCATCTTTTCTTTATTGCTCTTGTTGAGTATAGATACCCAAGTCTGCTCTATCAATATAGCTTATGGCATTATAGAGCAGGGGGAAATGAAATCAATGGAGCCCCTCTTGGATCTAAGCTTTCAAAGTATATATGTATGTGATGTGAGTGTAAGAAAGAGAGAGAGAGTAAAGGATGCTGAAGCTTTAACTACTGTATATTATATTCTCAAGTCCCACAACTGAGAACACACTTCTCAAACCCTCTGCAATCAGCAGGGCATCCACTGATGAATTTAGTTCACCAGCATATAACTCAGCATAGAGGAGGAATTTGTCCGGTCCATGTTTTAAAATCCTGCACTTCTGTGTGGTTTCTCCATTTCCCCAATCTTATGTTCAGCTCTTCATGTTTCCACATCAGTTTGCGATATACATGCCCTATTTTCTTAAATAAATAATAAACCACCAGCATTTTAGTGTATTCCTCCCCCCTAATATACACACCCTTCTTTGCAATTTTGCCTAATATAAACATTTTTACAAAACAATATTCTGTTTTAATGCATTTCTGTATGATATCTGCACAACCTAGCAGTTCGAAAGTGCTGCATCCCATAGCTGGAATTCGACTGGACTTAACCGCCCAGGGGTCCTTTACTGTTTTACCTATTTGCACAAACAGATAGACTTTTCTGCACACTTTAAACCCTGTAAATGCATTTTTGTACACACTACTTGGCTTGGGAACTGCTCTGCAAAATTTTGAGAAGTGCACATTTCAAAGGATGAGTGTTTCCTAAAATGCAAATTCTTTGGATTCCCTTTTAAATGGAATCTCTCTCCCATTCCCACCTGGGGGTAACACCACTGAACAAAATGGAACATTCTTCTGGGTCGATTCCTACAGGATTATGGTGCTGGGCTGTACCCCTATGCACTCTTCCTTGGGGGTAAGACCCACTGAACTTAGTGGCCCTAACTCTCAACAGACAAGGACTGGACAGCCATTATGTTGCAGCAGATCTCATTTATTTTGCTCATTACCAGAGGAAACAGCATGGCCAAAGAAGGATAGCTAATAAAAGTGTTGCATGCACAGTGCATGTTCTTAAAAGCACTCCATGGGGCAGCAGGATTTACCAGAATGGTGTTAAGTAGCTTGAAAAATTAATTTCTCAATAATAGAGACATCTTAAAAGCAAAATCTTGCTGTGCGGAAAATCAATTTGTGTGACAGATTTAGTCCTTTATCAGGAATCCACCAGTCTGGATAAAATATATGGCCTGGGAATGCCTGAAGGCATATTTGATTTCTCTGTTGTGGTGGGTATGAATTTTGACTATGGTGCAGGTTTTCAGAATGTGGGGACATTGCCATTCCCACTCCTGAGTTGGGGTGAATTTGTGACCCTCTTACCTTGAGAAGAAGACTTGAGTGGTTGCTCCCAGTGGGATAGTGCATGAGGGATCTGTCCCCTTATCAGGAAGGGGGATTACTATGCTTTTAAGATGCCCCTCATATCTTCCTCTTCAATGTGGCTCCCTCCTTTAAAGTGTGGACTTTGATGGTTGCCTTGAGTGGGGGAGTCCTTCACTTGCATTTGGGTCTTGTCTTTTTGCTTCCTTCATACCATGAGATGCTTCTCTTTGGCTTTTGGAGAGGTATTTGTCCATGTTTGCCCCATGTGGCTTTGAGTCTGGGCAGTTGAGAGAATTGAAAAATCCTGGCATCCAAAGAAATGCCAACATTTTGAAGTGTGGGAGATGCTGAGGCAGAAACTGAGCAGAAAAAGCAATTCTCATGAATTTTGGATATGGGCAACAACTCTGCAATGAGTCAGAGCCAGTGTGGTTTAGTGATCAGAACGTTGAACTAGGACCTGGGAGAGAAGGGTTCAAATTATCACTTGTTCATGAAGCTCATGGATCAGTCACTTCCTCTCAGCCATAGGAGCCAACTCCTAGGGGCTGAGGTCCCTTTGCCCCCCCCCCCCCAAAAAAATAAGTGGACCTGGCCCCCAAAGTTAATCGGCATTGCTATTCAAATGATTGGGGTGCTACATGTCATGTAATTGATTGTATGGGGTGGGGCTTACCTGCCCCCCATACTTTATTCAAAATGGCACCCTTGCTCTCAGACTAACCTACTTCACAAGGTTGTTGTGAGGAAGAAATAAGAAGGGGAAGAACCATGTACAGAATCTCTGGTTGCAAACAGGATCCATTCTGGAGCCCTGTTCACATCATGAGCAGAACGCAACTCGCGTCTGTGCATGCGCAGGTCGCAATTCGCCGCTTCTTTGCATGCATGTGACTTCATTATGAGCGTCTGCACATGCGCGAGCCGTGAAACCCGGAAGGAACCCTTTCCGCTACTTCCGGGTCGCTGCGAGACGCAACCTGAAAAGATTTAACCCGAAGTGTCTTTAACCCAAGGTATGAGTGTACACCACTTTGAGCTCCTTAGAGAAAAAGGAGGGCTATAAATGCAAAAGAGCAACAACAACACTGCCTACAGGTGACTACTTTCAAGCAACGAACCTACAATCATAATTGCATAAAATCATAGAGTTGTAGATGTTGGTTTCTGCTTTCGTTCACTGTGCAGCGAAAGGGCTTGTCACGAGGTGTTTACGTTCCACAGTCTGTACTGTTGGAGTTTCTCACGGGAAAGGGAGGCTGGATGTGACGTACACTGGTTTCCTGTTTTTCACTGTGTGATTCTCTCCGAGCTGTCGAGGAGAGAGGATGCATTTTCTGCTCCGGCAGAGACAAGATGTCTTTCTGTAATATACCAGCTTTGAACTGTAAATAAAGCAATATAGAGTATGCAGCACGTACTCCTCATCCTTCCGCTGGGCACGAGACTCTGCTTTAAATTAACACGTGGTTATGGGCTCCAGAAGTCGAATCGGAGTGCCGGCAAAGGATCGGAATGCAGAGGGACAGATCGGAAAGGAATCTGCTCTGCGCGTAGAGGTGATTGATGAGGTATGTGCTACTGCTCCGGGCAGCCTGCCAGCTTCAAGTTAATGGCTTTATGGCTGGACTTTGAACTTTTAAAGCCGGTTTTGCCAGGAATAGGCAAAAGGCTCCCAGGCACAAGTCACTATGCTGGGGAAATCGAAAGTAACTTTTAAGTGCGCCTTTGTAATAAGGCAACTGCAGCAGTGACGCAGCAAGATTTAATGCAGCATATATGACGCTGAAGGCTAATGCCAGAGTCATGATGGCCCTTCAGGATGCTTGTGGGATTCCTAAGCTCAACAAGAAAAATTACAGCGACTGGGTTCAGTATGCAGAGGCAATTCTGCGGAAAGAGGGTTTGTTTGAGGTGATTACAGAAACCCCCAGTTCCAGTTACAGATGCATGGGAAGCTAAGGATTCCAAAGCAAGGGGAACTCTTACATTGATAGTATCCCCAGAAGAGCTCTGTCTATTGCGTGATAAGACCTCAGCCAGAGAAATTTGGGACGCTTTGAGAGAGGCTCACTTAAGGACAGAAGCTGGATCCACCATGTTTTACTTTAACAAGCTGCATAATATGGCTCTTGCTGAAGGTGGAGATGTGCGTTTACATCTGATGGAGATGCAAAATCTGAGACATGAGCTGCAACAGAGAGGACTCAACTTTCCAGAGGCTGTGTATTCTTTCATGATACTACAATCTTTGGGTTCAGGTTGGGAGTCTGTTGCAACCCAGATTGCTGTGCAACCAACTGCTCAGCTGACAGTGGACTTTGTTACTGCCGTGATTTTAAATGAAGCAGATCGCCGGGTGCTAGCTGCATGGGCAAGGGGAGTCTTCACAGACGTCATCCCATAGTGCAGTGGAACCACCAGATGGCGCCAAAGCTTTGAAGGCAGTGAAATGCTACTCGTGTGGACGTCTAGGCCATATGAAGAGGGAATGCAGACATCCCAGGGCCAAGACAGAGCAGCGCAGCGAAAGCTCATCGCGCGGAAAAGGCCGAGGCAAAGGCAAAGGTCCGGTGTCTAGGACAACGCAGCACAAGGCTATGGTTTCACGCTTCACTCCAAAGGTTGCAGAGGTCCAGAAGACGTCTAGATCTTTCTTCGTTGTTGATTCAGCGGCCACCCACCACATGTGCAACGATAAGAGACTGTTTGTGTCTTTTACACCGCAGGAAGGTGCGATTCACCAGGCGGATGACCACACTATTCCCAGTAAAGGCTACGGAACTGTTGTTCTTCACAGTTTGGACTTATCGATACAGAATGTGCTTTACGTGCCAGACGCCAAACATAATCTGCTCAGCGTTGGACAGCTGAATGAGCGGAACATTGACGTTTCTTTCAAGAACAAGAAGTGCATCATCACAAAGAAAAATGATTATGTATTGCATGCAGAATATGTTGATCGTTTGTTTGTTTTGAATTATGATGATGTGGTGCAGGATGACACTTGTTGCATTGCAGGTTCTAACAAAAGTTTGCATGCAGAATGTATTCACGATTTTCATAGAAAATTTGGTCATTTGCACTTTGAGGCAGTATCTAAAATGCCTGCCTTGGTTGAAGGTATGACTATTAAACCCTGCAGGTACCACATGAAGTGCAAAGCATGCGCAGCAAACAAGGTCAAAATGGCTGCGAAAGGTAAGGTGTCTAGTAGGAAAGCTACAGAACCATACCAGGTTGTTCATGCTGATTTGGTTGGACCACTAGCGCCCTCTTTGGGTGGAAATAGATACTTCATGGTTCTCATTGATGCATTTTCTAGATATATTTTTGTGTACAATCTCAAGCAGAAATCAGAGGCTTTTCCTAGGTTCAAGGAATTCTGTGCTTGGTTGGAAAATGTGCATGGTAAGAAGATAAAGACTCTTTTCAGTGATCGCGGGGGGGAATTCACTTCTCAGCAGTTTGAAGCTTTTCTGACTGAGAAAGGAATTCAACACGATTTGTCTAGTCCTCGCTCGCCATGGCAGAATGGACTTGCGGAACGGGCAAATCAGACATTGCTTCAAGGGTTAAAAACCTTGCTGCATGATGCCAATCTTCCAGAGAGTTATTGGGCCGAATCTCTCTCGTGTTTTGTTTACAGTTACAATCGCAGGTTATCTTCAGCGATTGGTTGTACCTCTATGAGAAGATGTTTGGCAAGAAGCCATACATCAAACACATGAAGATTTTTGGTTCTGACATGTGGGTTCGCTCACCACAAAACTCCAAGTTAGACAAGCGTGGATTGCATGGTATCTTTCTAGGTTATCAGAAAGGGTCTTACAGAATAATGATGACTGACTCTAAGACAATTAAGCTCACGAGAAGTGTTGAGTACAATGCAAAGTGGGGGAGAATGTGGGAATTTTCCAATGTTATCCTGATGACGGTGATGAGACTGAGGATAGTCAAAAGCAACCACAACAACCCACACCCACTGATGAAGGTTCTGAGTCTGAATCTGAAACTGAATCGGGTGATTCAGAGGATTTCGAGAGTGCGAAAGCCTCTATGCGACCCTCTGAAAGCTCTGATCAAGAATTGGAGGAACCATTGTTCACAATAGGTCGTTTTTCTCCTAAGAAGGAAGAGGAGAGTGTTGAAGACTTAAGGCTAATTCGTAGGTCACAGAGAGCCACAAAAGGCAAACCTCCAAAGAGATTTGCTGATGAGTTTGCTACGATAGCAGTAACAGCTGTTAAAAGCTCCAAGAAGGTATTTGAACCTTCAAGTTTCCAAGAAATCCAGGGTTTGGATTCGAAGGAAGCTGAGCCATGGTTAAATGCCATGAAGGCTGAGCTTGATTCCTTAGAAAGGAACAAAACATGGGAGCTAGTTCCAGTAGTTCCAGGAATGAAACTGCTTGGAAGCAAATGGGTCTTCAAAGCGAAGACAGATCAAAATGGCAAGATAGTCAGACACAAAGCCAGATTGGTAGCCAGAGGTTTTGCACAGGTACCAGGTCAAGACTATCACGAGACCTATTCACCCACAGTGAGATATGAAAGCATTAGGCTTATGCTCAAGCTAGCTGCAGAGGAAAATCTACACATTAGTCACCATGATATTAATACAGCTTTTCTGTACGGATCTCTAGATGAATCACTTTATATGCTTCCACCTGATGGCGTACAGGTAAAACAGGGATTTGTTTGTGCTCTGAAGAAATCCCTTTATGGTCTCAAACAAAGTGCACGGTGTTGGCACACAAAACTCACTGAAGTATTGTTTTCTCTAGGTTTTCAGCAAGGGAAAGCTGATCCATGTGTATTTGTCAAAGAGGAGGGGCAAAAGAAACTGTACTGTTTGTTTTATGTTGATGATTTATTATTCTTTTGGAAAGATGTCGCAATGTACAATAGCGCCCTAGCTCAACTGAAAGAGCACTTTGACATGAAAGATCTTGGTGAGGTAAACAACTACCTATCTCTGGAAATAGAGAGAGATCAAGATGGTAACATTCTAGTACACCAGTCACGGAAAATTGCTGATGTGTTAAGCAAACTAAATCTGATGGATGCTAACCCTGTAGACACACCGATGACAACAGGTTATCAGGTAGATGACACTGAAGAAGCATTTTCTGACACTACACTGTACAGGAGTGTGCTAGGCAAGCTAAACTTCATTGCCAGATGTTCAAGACCAGACATTGCTGTTAGCTGTAATTTGCTAAGCAGACAAGTCAACAATCCTAGTGTCAAGCACTGGAAAGCTCTGAAACGCATAGCGCGGTATTTGAAAGGCACTATGCATTACAGACTGAGATTTAACAATCAGAAGTCTGGTGGTCTTGAGATATTTGCAGATGCAAGTTTTGGAAGTGACGCTACAGACAGGAAAAGTACGTCTGGAGTTTGCTACATGTACAATCAGAGTCTGTTTGATTGGTCATGCAAGAAGCAAACAACAGTTAGCTTAAGTACTTGTGAAGCCGAACTGAATGCACTGTCTTATTCACTTAAGGATTGTGAATGGTTAGTACAATTGTGCAAAGATATGAAAATTCCTGTCAAATGTCCAATCCAGGTTTACCAGGACAACAAAGCATGTTTGGCTTTGCTGAAGTCTGAAGGTTGTAAGCAAAGCACAAAGCACTTGCAATTAAAGTTGCAGCATGCTAGGGAATGTATTCAGAAGGGACTCGTAACGGTGTCCTATATGCCAGGTAATGAAATTCCTGCTGATGTATTGTCCAAGATTGTATCGAGGGATCAACACTGTACCTATGTGCAGAAGTTGGGTTTGTACTGATATTGTACAAACACGCTGCCCAGTGATGTTCACAGAAAGGGGAGGATGTTGGTTTCTGCTTTCCTTCACTGTGCAGCTACAGTGCTTGTCACGAGACAGGTGTTTACATTCCACAGTCTGTACTGTTGGAGTTTCTCACGGGAAAGGGAGGCTGGATGTGACGTACACTGGTTTCCTGTTTTTCACTGTGTGATTCTCTCCGAGCTGTCGAGGAGAGAGGATGCATTTTCTGCTCCGGCAGAGGCAAGATGTCTTTCTGTAATATACCAGCTTTGAACTGTAAATAAAGCAATATAGAGTATGCAGCACGTACTCCTCATCCTTCCGCTGGGCACGAGACTCTGCTTTAAATTAACAGTAGAGTTGTAAGGTACCTCAGGGGTCATCCAATCCAACCCCCTGCTTTGCAAGAATCTCAGCTAAAGCAGCAATGGCAAATAGTCACCCAACCTCTGCTTAAAAAGCTCTAAGGAAGAAAAGTCCTTGACCTCCCAAGGGAGACTGCTCCACTGATCAACATCTCTGACTCATCATGATTGAAATATACTCAGAGTCGAGAGTGGATTTCATGCTCTTTATTCAGCTCATAGTGGTGAGGAGGAATGAAAATCCCCTCAAAGTATATGTTTATATACATTATTTACACAATAGTCTGCACGTGATTGGCTAATTCCGGAATTCTCCTGTAGGCCAATCAGGTTGTGGATTCACTTCCATCTGGAGCTGGATTGGGTGGCTCCTGCAGACCAATCATACTGCTGCATTGTTCTAGGACCAATCAGGCTGCTGCATTTTGGATCCTATTGTTCTAGGACCAATCAGACTGCTGCATTTTGGATCCTATTCAACTCAGTACATAACAATGATGTAGGTGAATATTCTATTTCATATATCATTCTAAGATAGGGGCAGCCACTCTGATGTCCTCCGGATGTTTCTGGACTACAGTTTCCCATCTTTCCTGACCATTGGCCATGTGGTCTGGAGCTGATCATAATTGGGTCCAAGAACCTCTGGGGGATCACCATGCTAATTAACCTGATCCCTCAGGACTTTTCATATGCTATTAAGATATTTCAGTAGTTCCTATCAGTAGGGGACGCCTCCCAGTCAGTTATGCTTTGTGCAGGATTAGGAGTCCAGGAAGTTAATGCTAGTGTCCACATTTTCAGTTATGAAATGTTGATGGAGATGGCACCATTCTCTGGATTGTGACCAAACTTATCTCCAACAGACAGGCTTTCCACAAATGTTCAAGGTCCTGTGCTTGTTTTGTTATCTTCTAAAAATATAACAACTTCCAGCTATATAAAGTAATAAAAAAATAAAATAAGGCACAGCCTTTAATTTTGTAAAAATGATGTTTGACTGTAAGAGCAAAATAATTAGAAATATTTAGTGCAGGGGGGGGGGAAACATCTGCAAGTTTAAAATTGTTTTCTGTTTAAATCCAGCCATTTGCCAGGACGGAAATGATATGTTAGACATCCTGCTCTTTTGCCCAGTATGATAGCAACTAAAGTGGCTTAAAATTGGATTCATTTATAAAGCTGGACACGATTAATATCACTCCCTGCATGACGGTAATTCATTTTTCTCTCATTTGTATCTGCAGCAGTGGGGGCTCTATTCCTTCTATGCTGAATGCAGTCCTAATTAAGTATTCATTAAAGAATACATATTTTCTCATTTAAGAGAGAATATCCAACATTTATGCACAGTATTTAAAAAAATCCAAAAACTTGTTTACCATTTGGGCCAATGGCTTGATGGAGGTTTCCTATTCCAAGTGTCTTTCAACAGGATATGTCTAAGTGGATTCAGCCCAAATGTGGAAATATGTGTACCCATTTGCTGTAGCAAATATTCGCTCGTTGCATTATTTGGGTCAACGGAAGCGCATCTGACACAGCCAAACCAATTACTGGAAAGAACCTTGCCAAATGTTTAAATGAAGATTGTCATCATTTTGCTGTCCCAGATCAGGGAAGGGTGTGTGTGTCTTACTTACAAACCCAAGAGCCACATGGTCTTCTGCTCAACTTTTCGGGGGTCACATGGCAGTGGTGAGCGGTGCCAGAGTTCAAGGGCACATTCCAGCCAAGCAAAAGCACCCAAGGAGGGTGCAAAGGAAGACCAGAGGTGGGTATAGCCTAGGGTTACCAGACATCCATGTTTCCTGGGGACAGTCCCCGGATTTGCGAATAAGTCCCCGGACAAATTCCATCCCCGGAATGTCCCCAGATTTCATCTATATCCCTGGGAAATGCAGTAGCAGCAGTCTCAACAGCCCGGAGCAGTTGGCTCTGGCTGGCTTCAGGAGCTACTGGGAAGTTCCCATATGATGGTGGTGCAGGGGCTCTAAGATGCAGCTTCAGGGCTGCCTCCGCCTTCCCTGACCCCAACAACTAAGCTGTGGCTTCATGCTGCCTATCAGAGAAGCCTCTGAACTCCTACTTGTGTGCAAGCAGGAGCTGGGCAGGGATCTCTCAGCTGTGAAGGGAGGCTTCACACTGCCTATCACAGTTTGTGTGCAAGCAGGAGGAGGCAGGGATCTCTCAGTTAGGCAATGGGAAGCCTCCCTTCCCAGCTAAGGGATCCCACCCTCTTCTGCTTGCACGCAAGTAGGAATGGGAATGGGGCTGCTCCGATGGGAAAGGAGGCATCGAGCAGCCTGAGAGATCCTTGCCCCTTCCTGCTTGCATGCACGTAGGAGTTGGGATGGGGCTGCTCCAAAAGGCAGTGTGAAGCCTCCCTTCCCAGCTGAGGGATCCCTGCCCCCTCCTGCTTGCACGCAAGTAGGAATGGGATTGGGGCTGCTCCGATGGGAAGGGAGGCATCGCGCTGCCCAAGCCTCGCCGCCACCACTCTCAGCCCTCCTTCTCCGCCTTCCATGCCTGACCCACCGCACCACTGAAGAATCAACAACTCAGGGGCTGCCCAGGCTCATGGAGAAAGGAGATAGAAGCCTCGGAGGAAGGGGAAACGTGGCAGTTGAGGTCAGGGCAGCGGCTGCCACCCCTCTGCCACCGCCATCGCTGAAGCAACAACGTCCCAAACATGTAGTGTAAGTGTAGTGTATGTAAGTAATTAAAGTGTCCCCAGATTCATTAAAAAAAACCTGGTAACCTTAGTACAGCATGGGTAGGGTCCTAAAGGCCTTTCCAGATCCTCCATGTGTCCTTATTTTCTAGTGACAGTTCCGGATTTACAGAAGCTGTCCCAGTTTCTGATTTGATCTTCAATTGTCCACTTTTCCTTAGGACATCCTTATTTTCATTGGAGAAATGTTGGCGGGTATGGGGTTCATATATAAAAACACAGTAAAAGATTAAACATTAAAAAAAACTTCCCTGTACAGGACTGCCTTCAGACGTCTTCTAAAGCTTGCATAGTTACTTATCTCCTTGGCTTGAGGGTTGCATACCCTCCAACATTTCTCTGATGAAAATAGGGACGTTCTAAGGAAAAGCGGGACATGCAACCCCTGAGCCAAGGAGATAAGTAACTATGCAACCTTTAGAAGACGTCTGAAGGCAGCCCCGTGTAGGGAAGTTTTTTTAAATATTTAATGTTTTATTATCTTTTTATATATGTTGGAAACTGCCCAGAGTGGCTGGGGCAGCCAAGTCAGATGGGTGGGGTGTAACTAATAAAAGTACCATTGCTATTATAATGGAATAGGACACCCCTATTTTCATCAGAGAAATGTTGGAGGGTATGCCATTCCTGCCCTAAATGTTGCTGCGGTTTCTCGGCTCCATTTTTGTCCTTCTTTGCCCTCAATATCCTCGGTCTCATTTGCCCAAGATGCCTTTTAACCTGATTGCCTGTGGTGGCACATGAGATTAATCACACTAGTGATGCCATTGCCTCATAAGCCGTGTCCTGATATTATTGATAATGTTACATCATTATGTCAGGGTGAACTGCATCCTTGAACTCTGATAACGACCCTTGCTTGCTCAGATGGAAGATAGACAGGTGCATGTATAAATCGAGCCTACTGTGCAAAGAGAAAATTTACATTAATAGCTCTGGACAATATTTTCCCCTTTCGGCCCTGCCCATGGGGTCTCCACTAGGTTGCCCAGAAGGAAACATGACCCTTCAGATGAAAAAGGTTCCCACTCTTGTTTTAGACCAATGAAAGATGAAACTTTAAGGCTGCATTCAGATACAGTGGTACCTCGGTTTACATACGCTTCAGGTTACAGACTCCACTAATCCAGAAATATTACCTCGGGTTAAGAACTTTGCTTCAGGAAGAGAATAGAAATTGCGCAGCGGTGGCGCAGCAGCAGCAGGAGGCCCCCATTAGCTAAAGTGGTGCTTCAGGTTAAGAACAGTTTCAGGTTAAGAACGGACCTCCGGAACGAATTAAGTACGTAACCAGAGGTACCACTGTATAGAGGTTTTTTTCCTGGTGCTTCTGTCCTGGTTTATAGCGTTCTTTTCCCCCCCTAGCAGTACCTGTTGCATTATGGAACTGTGGCATTTTGCTCAATACACACAAAATTTTAAATGATGGGGTAGACCTGTGTACCAGGATACTGCCCCAAATTTCATCTCATGAAATGACAATCCCCAGCGCCTGTGATTTTCTGAGTTAACAGGGTTGAGGTTGGATTTCGCACGCACACACACCGAGCTCTAAACTTGCACTAAATTCACATTTGATTTCCAGAAGTGGCTTTTAAAATATGTGAAAGATCCGACAAAATACCAGGTAAGGAAATGTCAGGAAAACAGAACAAGGTGCTGTCTGAATGCAGCCTTAATATTAACACCGTCTTACTGGATATATGTGGTCTACAGAGCTTTGAATCACTCCAAATGGCCTGATGAATAATCTGGCCCATTCATTCTTCTTGGGCCAGGATGCAGGAATGAAGAGTGAACGGTCTTCAAATGGGCTTCTTTGTGCAGAACTCTTATCCATGTCCCCATAGGGTTATTGCATCGTTGAAATGCATTCTTCCATGCTGACAGCTTGCACTTGCTGGCTCCACCAAAAATCCCATCTGGGCTGCTGAAGAAGAATACACCATTATGGTGACCTGGCACAATGGATGACCTTATGGCGTGAATGTCAGCAGATAATGTTTTGCCCTTGATTTGTTCCTTTCAATGTGGAAATGAAAAGTGGTGCTGGGAGTCCAGGCTATTCAGTTCTTCTAAGAGACAGGAGGAGGGAAATCCCTGCAATTGTGAACTTCTGCAAAAAAGAAAAAAAGAGGCTACGACTTGAATATGACTGAATAAAAATGAGGGCACACAAACTCAACGGAGAGAAGAAGAGATGTTTCAGAGCATAGCAATAGTGGCTACGCTCTCATTTTCTGACAAACC